TGTGATTGCCCCCGACATCAAATAAAGATGCCGGAGGGATGAAGGACGATGGGCCTGTATGATAGCCCCCGACATCAAATAAAGATGTCGGAGGGATGAAGGCCGAGGGCCGTTGTGATGTGGAATCATGCTGAGGCCGAGGGCCGTTGGTGATGTGAGATCACGCTAAGGCCAAAACCATTATGACATAGGGTCATGTTGAGGCCGAGGGCCGTTCTGATGCTGAGGTCGAGGGCCGTTGTTGATGTTGAGGCCGAGGGTCGTCTGATGTTGAGGCCGAGGGCCGTTGGTGATGTTGAGGCCGAGGGCCGTCCTTATGTTGAGGCCGAGGGCCGTTGTTGATTTTGAGACCGAGGGATGTTCTGATGTTGAGGCCGAGGGCCGTTGTGATGTGGAATCACGCTGAGGCCGAGGGCCGTTGGTGATGTGAGATCACGTTAAGGCCAAAACCGTTATGACACAGAGTCATGTTGAGGCTGAGGGCCGTCTGATGTTGAGGCCGAGGGCCATTGTGATGTCCTCACGCTGAGGCCGAGGGCCATTGTGATGTCCTCACGCTGAGGCCGAGGGCCGTTGTTGATGTTAAGGCCGAGGGCCGTTGTTGATTTTGAGACCGAGGGTCGTTCTGATGTTGAGGCCGAGGGCCGTTGTGATGTGGAATCACGCTGAAGCCGAGGGCCGTTGGTGATGTGAGATCATGCTAAGGCCAAAACCGTTATGACATAGTGTCATGTTTAGGCCGAGGGTCGTCTGATGTTGAGGCCGAGGGCCATTGTGATGTCCTCACGCTGAGGCTGAGGGCCGTTGTTGATGTTAAGGCCGAGGGCCGTTGTTGATTTTGAGACCGAGGGCCGTTCTGATGTTGAGGACGAGGGCCGTTGTGATGTGGAATCACGCTGAAGTCGAGGGCCGTTGGTGATGTGAGATCACGCTAAGGCCAAAACCGTTATGACATAGTGTCATGTTTAGGCCGAGGTCCGTCTGATGTTGAGGCCGAGGGCCATTGTTGATTTTGAGACCGAGGGCTGTTCTGACGTTGAATAATTCCAAGGCCGAGGGCCATTGGTGATGTAGAATCGAATTGAGGCCGAGGGCCTTTCCTTGATAGTTCCGGGAGTCCTTCGGGTGTATGTTCCTTCTTTCAGGCATCGGCCGAGGGGGTTGATTCCCCGCCTCGGCCGAAAGGGGGTCCAAGTGATTCGTCCGAGGGTTCGTCTGTTAGTCCTCCGGCACTGGGCCGTCCCTTGATTGTTCCAGGAGGTCGTATGTTAGTCCTCCTGATGTGTGTTCCTTCTTTCAGGCTTTGGCCGAGGGGGTTTCTTCCCCGCCTCGGCCGGAACGGGGTCCAAGTGATCCGTCCGGCGGTTCGTCTGTTAGTCCCCCGGCGCTGAACCGTCCCTTGACCTTGGGGGTTCCCGTCGTCTGTTTATGGTGCGGGCTAGGCTTGGTCGGTTTCCGAAGACTGCCGTTTCACCCCCAAGTTTGGGGATTTCGTCACCTCAACCATTCTTTCAGGCCTGTCGCCGTGCGTTGCGCGCCGGCGACGCGGCGAGCGTCTCGCTCGAAAAACGCGGGCCTTTTGCAGGCCCCTCGTCTTTAGACACCATCGGCCATACCTGGGCATTTGGCCTCGAAGGGGCCGATAAGATGTCTGGATTGTGTTGTAGTTTACTTAAATTCATAGAAATAAGCGGAATACAAGGGGTGCGTTATTTGACAACGGCTTTGTTAAGATTCACCGCTCAAGGCCGAGGGCTCTAGACCGAGGGGATGATAATGTGCCTCGAGGTCGAGGGACCATGGCTGAGACTAACGCCGAAGGCGAGGAACATGATTAGCGGAGGTGGCACTTCTTCGGGTGGGGCTCCTCGAACTCCTCGTCGTCGCTGAGCCTCCCGATTTCATGTTTCTTCATTGCGATGTCCCCTTCTTCTTTATCGGTGTTCTCCCTGGTGTTTTTCCTTGGGGCATTTTTTATGAATTGGTGGAGCTCACCCCGTTGAATTAAGAGTTCAATAGCCTTCTTTAACGAGACACAATCATCTGTATTGTGGGAGGTGCTTTTGTGGTAACGGCAATAAGTGCCGCCTTGGTGGATGGCGTAGATCTCCCTCGCTGACCGAGGGTCCTTGGGGAAAAGGTCCTGCTCTTCCGCATAGTTGAGGATAGTGCTCACCGGGTGTGTGAGGGGAGTCCTCGGCATGTCCAGCCGAGGGCGCCACTGGCGTTCGTTACACCCCTGCTGGGTGTGGCTTCCATGGTCTCGGCCGGCGGCCTCCGGCCGAGGGCGCATTTGGGGCCGGCGTGTTGTTTGTCTTCTTCGAGGGCTGGCCCTCGTTCTTCTTGAAGGAGTGGAGGTCGTCGGCGTCGGCGTATAGGCTCCCCCGCTGGAGTGCTTTGAGGTATGATCTTGGGGGGTCTGTGATGAGGCTCTGTGCGTAGGGGCTGCTGCGGAAAACCCCCTGGAAGAGGACGAGGTGGGTACGCTCGTCGGCGCCCTCGACCTCGTCTGTCTCCTTCATCCACCGGTCAATGAAGGACCGAAGTGTTTCGTCAGGCTGTTGCTTGACGGAGAGGAGGTGGGAGAAGTGTTTTCTCGCACGCTTCCTTCCGGCAAAATGGGTGAGGAAGCGTTGAGCAAGTTCTTGCCAAGAGTCAATGCTGCCCTCGGGCAATCGGTTGAACCATTCGTATGCTGGTCACTCCAAGGTGGAAAGGAACCAACGACGTAAGTATTCATCTGATGCCCCCATCATCATGTTGTTTTGATACCTGTTGTAGTGCTCCTGGGGGTCAGTTTTTCCTTCATAGGGCTTGATGAGTTACCCTCGGTACTTTTCCGGGATTTGGGCCGCCAATACCCTTGGGGTAAATGGCGTCCTAGTTCGGAGTTGGATGACGGGTTCCCCGGAGCCTTCGGCAAATTTCCTTTGCATCTCCTCCATTTTGGCCAGCATGGCCTCATATTTAGAATCTGCATGGGGGGCAGAAGTGGTGGCGTGTGCTTTGGTGGCCTCCATCTCGTCAAGCCGGAGCTGGAGGGCCGCAATGATTTCGTCCCGGGGGTCCTTCGGGAAGGCCTCTGCCCCCTGCGAACGGACACGGGCCGAGTGGGCCTGGTTGATTTGGTGACGGGCATCGTCGGCATGGAGAGGTGTTTTGCCTTTGTCCTGAAGGGGACGTCTTTCATTAGCCCTGGAGACGGATCCGCCACTTTTCTGAGGCCTCTGGAGCACCTTCCCCCCGAGGCGGTCTTGGACCCCTCGGCGGTCTTGCGCCCCTCCGAGTCTCTCGAGGGCGGAGGTCCGGGGCGATTCCTTGTTCATGTTGTGGCGGTCCCGGGATTGGACTTCCTGGGAGGCCGTATCTTGGGCCACGACCCCCTCGACGTTCCCCATCCGGAGGACAGGGTTCCCGAGGGGGTGTGGATGAGGGGGAGGCATGATATTCTCCCCGACCAGAGGTTGGAGGGGAACCAAAGTGCCGAAGGCACCCGGATTCTGGGTGAGCGTCTGGATCAAGGCGGAAAACGCCGACTGTACGTCGATAGTGATGACCGGAGGGCTAACTTGGTTCTCGCTCCGGTCCTTCTTTTTGGCCTCAATGCTGAGGCGGGCATTGGGGGCATTCTGTTGAATCTGATGGCGTAGGTCGACAGCCGTCTGGTCCAACCCGGCGATGACGCCGCCCTCGAGAGCCATGTTAGAGGCTTCGAGGGCGTCGACGTCACCGAGGGCCAGGTTCCTGTCCTCATGAGTCTTGGATTGGGCACGGGTGTTTCTTCCCATTTTGATAGGTGTTTTTAGCTGAAGGGGAGGGTTTCTTACTTGATTGTTCGAACTCTCAACGAGAGCACCAAATGATGGATAGTGTATCTGGGGGTAGCTTATCCGAGGGGTTATTACGAAGAATAACTAGAGAGAAGTCAGAGCAAATAAGTAAGAGAGAGTGTATATTTGATATGTATTAAGCGTCGTTTACAATGGGGGAAAGAGGTGCTATTTATAGTAGTAATAAATGCCAGATAAGGACACGTGTCAGTTTTCTGGTGGTCGAGGGGTCACCTCAACCGGGGTGGCACTGGCACTCGCATGTGGCCGCATTAAATGCGGTGGTTGGATGTGACGTTTGTACTTGGTACGGTGATCCAGACGCATGTGAAGAGGATATTCTGTCGAGGTGGATGCCTTCGGTTGAAGGGTGCTGGGCCGAAGGCTCTTCTAATCGAGGGCTCCTACCTGCCGAGGGTTGTAGGTGCCGAAGGCTTGGTTTTCAAGCCTTGTTCTGTTGTGATGCCTCTTCTAACCGAGGGCTCCTACCTGCCGAGGGCTGCAAGTGCCGAAGGCTTGGTTTTCAAGCCTTGATCTCCTGTGATGCCTCTTCTAACCGAGGGCTCCTACCTGCCGAGGGCTACAGTTGGCGAAGGCTTGGTTTTAAAGCCTTGATCTCCTGTGATGTTTCTGAGCTCGATTCCGTCACTGGTAGCCTTCGGCCATGGGGCCGAAGGCACCCCTTTGCGTATTGTGGGCTGCTTAGAGCTCCATTTTTCTGGGCTTGGCCCGTTTGGGCCTGTTGGGCCTGATTGTAGAAGAGGAAGTATGTGGGTCGAGGGTCCCTGAGCCATATACTCCATCAACTACATATAAAAATACAAACTCATATGTAAGAATTTGAGATCCTCCTATTAAGGTTAGACTTCATAGAATGTAACCTAGAGCTTTCTTCCTATTGAGGTTGCCTTTTTAGAAAATAACTTCAATTCATGATATGATATCAGACCCTATTAAATCAAGCTAACACTTCAAGCATGATAAATTTGAAAAAGGACTGACCAACTCCAATAAGCCATCATCTTGTAAGGATGTAGAGCATACACAGGTTTGTAGGGCAGAGAGGTAATCACAACATTTATCTAACATCTAAAACAACAAACACAACACTTAAAACAAACCAATGAGGCGGCATGTATATACCGAGCCTTATTCATATATTTTGTAAAGCTAGGCCATATTAAGCATCTATTCCTATTACACAAAGTCCTTGATAATTATATACATTCATTATGCTGACATTGTAAAAAATGTCAGATAAGTGCCACACATCACATATAATTGAATGACCAAGTTGGTATAGTATTTACAAACACTTGATTCAAATGTCAAAGTAAACAAAAAAATGCTTATATTAAAATCATTTTTTCCTATTAAAAAAGTTAAAACTTTTTTAGGCAAGTGAAATGGAACACTTTGTCGCAAAGCATATCAAGGTATACTTTGAGATGTATGTTTCATTGTGTAATGATGAAAAATGTTTAAATATATGTTAGATTAGAATATGGGTGGGCCCAAACTGGCTTGGTCCGAGATCAAGTCTGGTATTGTGTGGGATCAGACCGGATTCGTAATTTCAATCCCAATCCGATAATTTCATGATCCTCCACTTTCCCCTTGTTATCTTGCTTATGCATTGTCCCACACATTGTGCAACGGTAAAAATGACAATCCGCCAGGAGAGTTCAAACAGATATATACCTTGAGCTTGTTTATTCTGTGCAATATAATGAAACATGAGCTGATTTATGTCTTAATCATATTGTAAAGGTGATAACATAAGCTAGCTAGATACAAACACAATTTCCATAATATGAAAGCAAAAATTACTCTCCTGCATATTAACATTATATTTTTCACCTTTACAATATGATTAAGACATTTATTATCAATATTTGACTTCAACGACATTATAACACAAACCACCTTTGATTTGAACACCACAGTTACTAACAAACTAATATAAAAGTTGATTCCTTTTGCATATCATCATATTATCCACCACTTAAGTTGGATAACTGACATGAGATATTAAAACTACAGGATCTTTTTAATGAAATAAAAGAGATGATCAATCACACAGAGACGTGATAAACCCAACCTCAGTAACATAGTCTTTTGAAGTGACGTAGGATGAGGTTCCTCCACCTGGAGTTTTTTTGGTTGTTTCTTTTAAGCAAAAACTTCTGCATTCATACATGATAAAGGTTTAGTTCATATTTAATCTTTCTTAAAGTAGTAAGCAATTACTTTTTGCATCCAAAATTTGTTTAGGCTTTCAAGTTCTTGGAGAATGAATATGCCAATTTTACATTTTTTGAGATATCTACATTTTCATTTTAAAGTTGGTACTTGAAGTTAAAACATTGATGTCGATATACGTGAATCTAAGAAACTAAAGGTTTGAAACCCAACTAAAGGCATAGAATAATTAAAGGTTCACCATACATAATAATGACATGCCCACTTCATTTCTGAATATGGAAGGTGAATTGGCGAGTCTTCTTCACAAAAATACTATGGGAGATGTTACGAAGGTGAGATTAGAGAGCATATGCAAGGGTGTAAGACTAAGTTAGCAATATAAGAGTGAAATACTACTAATTAATGCATTTTGTAAGAGAATATTCTCAATTGGGTTAGAGCAAAACTCAGAACTCAGAAGGTACTGAAAATGACATAAAAAGTTGAGTTTGGGTTCAACCTAGATGGTGACATGAGAAAAAATTGTACTCCCTCCGTCCCTTATAACTTTGCCAACTTTCCTTTTTCGGTTGTCCCAAAAACTTTGCCACTTTCCCTTTTAATCAATCAATTTGTGTCTCCAGTTATTTCTCTCTCTTCTTCACAAATCTCTACCGCACAGTTTTTACTTTATTATTCTACGTGCCGGTCAAACTTGGCAATCCTTTTAGGGACGGAGGGAGTATATTTTACATAAAAAGTATATTAAGTTCTACATTACCCCCTCATCTATTAGTACAAAGTCAAGTTGCCAACGTAACCATCCACGCGTGAATCAAGACTTTTTTTATTATTAATAAAACAGACCTCTTCCTTCATAGGCACCTAATTTGTTGCAAAAGTAGCAGATTTGCAGACCTACGACATATTGAGCTACCCAAAAATTTGGTAAAATCCAAATTCTTACTTGATGTAGTCAGCATACCTATTAAAGGTGTACTTGAATCAGGCTACTAAGTTAACTAATATGGTAATTAAGTTAATATGACTTGATTTTTAGGTAACACATCTCACCTTTATTGGATTTATACTTGCATTAAACTTAGCTTAATAATAAATTCTGAGGTATTTGATTTTAACTTACTTAAAACTGAATACTCTGTAATAGATTGTGGAATATTCGAATCTGTAATTATCAATTACAAATATTTGAGAAATTATAATAATTACAAAAGAGTGAGGTTTTGACGATTTTTTTCACTTTTAAGGAATAATAATAACTCTATTAGAGCACTGATTAGGGGTGTGAACCGTGTGATCGTTCAGGAAATGGTTTAGAGAATAAAAGATTTACTTCAATCATATTCCTATGGAATGGAAGCCTTATATAATTCATTAAAGATATGGAGTCCTTGAACAATTCCCTAAATTACTCCCTAAACCATTCCTGGAATGTTAGACAATTACAACTATAAGACAATACCTCTACTTGTTCTTCCCTGCATATAAGAATAATCGTAGGAACAAATACTTGTCTGAGGAATTTTAATAAACAGCTTATTTCCCTTAAAAATTAACAACTTTATGAGTGACATAAACCTAACAAATCAGAAAACATTTAAAATAAAAGATAGAATATATGATTTAGAAGAATAGTTTACCTCGAACTCAGATTTAATCGGCTGGATTTTGGCAAAGATGATCCCAGAAAAAGAAGAACAATTTGAAGGAAGAAATAACAATCTCCTTTTTCAGATGATTTCCGGGCAGATGACTTTAGGTAGATGAGTATCCATCTCTTTTTTCGGATAATTTCATGGCAGAAGACTCGGAGTAGATTCCGGCACATAATTGTATCTTCTTGTTTGAGAAATTTCATGTTGTTGACGACACCAACATTCTTGATGAACTCCTATTTGCGAAGAAGAAAGAAGGAAGGAGAAGAAGCGGAAGAAAAAAGTAGAAGAGTTGAAGAAGAGTTGCACTGCGGAAGGAAAGAAGATAGGTGATGTTTTGAAGTAAAAGATCCTTGAACATTAGATGAAGGGTGTAGATCATTTGAGATAGAGGATGGAGATGAATTTGTATTGCTATTAAGTACTCCGTATAAGGGATTTTGGTTTGTTAGTATTTGAATCATCAAAACCAACTTCTTTCAAACTGAAAATCGGTACCTAGAATTTTTGTATAATTTGAATTTGTGTTTACAAAATTTGATTAAGAGCCCATTCGGTCACCTCTTTTCGGCTTATCAGGCTTATCAACAACTTTTTCACCAAAAATAATTGTGTTTTATATGTATATTCTAGCTTAGTTATTTTTCAAAAATCATTTCACAACCTTCCCGATTGAATTTTTTGTTCAAATTTGGTATGGATGAACTAAACTTGATGAAGAACATGCCATAAAAATTTCATCAAAAACATCTACCGGGAGGGTCCCCAAAATCCGTCGGCCGGACGGCGGTTCCGATAAGGAAGGCCTGACCAGAAGATTACTATGTATGTATGTATGTATGTATGATTAAAGACTGAATTTATAATTAAATTAAATGGATATTTGAAAGGATCCAAATTAATTCAATCACTAAATTTTATTTGAACGGACTCATATTAATATTTTCTTAAGATAAGGCCCAACAACCATCATGAGCGGCCCAATAAGATGTGAAATATCCCAGCAACTTTTAAAAGAACTCAATCAATTCCTCCAATAATTTTTAATAGGGGTGGGTGCGGTCCGGAACGGTCCGGTAATTGGTAAAACCTGTAATGTATCCGTGTGGTTTTTAACGGCCCGGTACGGTCCGGTTCCAAGGATAGAACCGCTCAGTACCATGTCATTTCAGAACAGTACAAAACGGTACGGTACAATGCCAAACACATGCTAAAAATTTTGAACAAATCTTGCAATTAGTAGATATCATTACACCAAACAACTCACATGAAATGTTGAAATAAATACAAGAAATTGCATACGTAGTACTAAAATTCAAAAATACACAAATACTGCAACACAACTAAAAAAAGTATAGCAAAACGATGACGCATGAGATAAATATCATCTTTAATTTACTAAGTTCATGTGAAAATATAAAAACAAATATCATCAAATTGTTGAATATAATAGAAATCTTCAACGTTCTTCTTCTTCGTTCTACATTAAATATTACTCCGCAGTTCTAATTTAATTTATAGTTGAACCTTGAAAGCTAAGATTTAAACCATATTAATTAAGTTGTAAAAATTGCACAAACATGATACAACAAAAAGTCAGGTACACTACATTACTACAAATGAATAGTCATTAATGATTTATAACATTTTAATATTCTTTCAATACATACCAAAATATAACATAAATTATCTAAAAAGAAAAAACAACAATATATACACACACATTTAGATATCTTAGGGACACATGAATACATACTTGGAGTATAAAATTGTTGGTCTATAAAAGAGATCTATTGGTATAGAAAAAATATAAAAAATTCAAATGCATTATTTTCGAACGGTTCGGTCCGGTATTTTTCAGTTCTCAAAATCTAGGATCGGTCCCGTACCCGTTTCAAATGGTACAGTTTCTATTCGGGATAAAAATCTATAGAACCATTTAAATACCCATTATTCGGTTCGGTACCATTACGGGACGGTTCGGTACCGGTTTGGTATCGGTTTGGTTCGGGTTTTATGCCCACCCCTAATTTTTAAGCATCCACAACTACCTCTGCTTCATCTCACGGCAGATAGACGCCTGGGATTGAATCAGCCAGTGTTGGAGATCACCCTGCCATAATCTGCTTCCCCTTCTACAAGCATCGGCCAGCGTAGCTTTGCTCTGTGCTTCTATTCATCATGTCCAATGTCTTCTTAGTATCCCCCCTCTCATTATTGATGCCCAATGGGCTTGGCTTTTAATTATTGAAAAAAAGTTTAAACTAGAAACACGAGCGGTGCTAGAATTTTTATCCTTCCTCATGTACACTTTTTTATTTACACGGGGTAACATCTAGAGGCGAAAATGAAAACTAGGTTGAAAATATAGGAGAAAGAATTATTTGCTGAAAAAGGCTCAATTCCCCTCCTTCCTCCATCTTTGTATCATACCAACTATATCATATAGTCTATATGTATAAAACAACTAATTTGCAAAACAATTGCTGCTATTATAATCACCCAACCAAAACAGCTGACAACTAGATATCGTCAAACTGCTATCAAAATTGACAAAATGAAAAACTTCTATTCGAACAATTCAAAATGTATGATAGGTCATGGGCGTCACCACGATGATCGATGAGCAAAATCTATTCATATATAAGAAGGAGCAGGTAAGAGTCAGATTGGTACTCGAAGTTGCATAAAAAAGGTCAAATAAGTCCTTACTATCCGACCGTCGCCGTTTGAGGCAGTTCCCGGTGGAATTTTTTGATGAATTTTTTTGAGCATCTTATTCATTAAGTATAGTTACTCATACCAAATTTTAGCTAAAACTTCAATCGGGAAGGCATTCAAATAAATTCTTGAAGCTAACTACGTTTTTAACTGCGCAGTTATCTTCAAGAATTCATTCGAATACCTTCCCAGTTGAATTTTTAGCTGAAATTTGGTATGAGTAAACTAGACTTAATGAATAAGATGATCAAAATATTTCGTCAAAAAATTCCACCGGACACCGCCCCAAATGGCGATGGCCGGACAGAACCTCCTATATAAGGACTTCTTTGGCCCTTTTTATGCAACTTCAAGTACCAATCTGACTCTTACATCTAAGAAGGAGATAGCTCATCTAAAGACAATTATGGCTTTCATTAATCATATGTGTCCATCTTTCCACAATTTGCTCTTTTGCTATAAAAATGACATGTGGCCACTTTTTACTTCAAAGCTACCGAACCAAGGAAAAGAAGAGCAGTCCCAAGGGAAATGGAGTTGGTGGGCCCAAGTTATAAAAAATCCCAAATTTCTTTAAAGTGTTATAACTTTTTCATTTTTGCTCCAATGTTTCTAAAAAAATACTCCCTCTGTCCCATAATTTACTTCCAACTTTCCCATTTCATCTGTCCTAAAAAGAATTTCCCTTTCCTTTTTTGGCAAAGAATTTATGGTTCACAGCAATTCTTACACATTTTTATACATTTCTCTCTCCTCTGCACAACTCTCCACCACACAATTCCCACTTTCTTAATCCGTGTGCCATTTGTACTATGGAAGTAAATTCTGGGACAGATGGAGTATCAAAATTCACAATTTTTTATGATCATTCATATGAGATCAATATTGACAATATAAAAATATAATTTATTAACGCCCTCAATAATTATGCTTAAAATTATTTATATTTATATACACCATCCGTTCCATAAAATTTGGCCAAAATTGACTTGCACGCAGAATAATAAAATACAAATTGTGTAGTTGATATTTCTGTAGAGAAATGAGAAATAACTTTAACCACACATTTCTTACTTTAAGTGGAAATGACAATGTTTTTTGGGATGACAAAAAACTGAAAGTTCACAATGTTTTATGGGACGAAGGTAGTATAAGGAAGTAGTAGGTTATTAAAAATAATGTTTTACCCCAATTATTATGCAATGTGTCTATCTACCCGTGTTAGAGAGCATTGCTTTACTTATGCTACATGACTTCATCTTTTGTATTTTTGTTGTTGTCTTTATAAACAAACGAATTACGAAGATAGATGTTTGTCCCTGTTTATATGATTACAGCAATATAACGATACACAAAGATAAGAATAGCAGAAAGATAAACGCTCTGGAGATCCTTAAACTCGTCTTTGATATACCGTGAACTTCTATAGTAAGAATGATAAGCTCTAAGGCTGTAAAGATCGAATGCAAAAGTTAACGCAAACCTAACCCTTAAGCGCCTTTTTATATGCTCAGGTAGGTTTGCGTACAAGCTTTATGCCAGGTGATGGATTATAGGTATCCAAGTATATATAAAATGGGAGAGATTTGAGCATATAGAGAGGAAGATGAATGAATAGTGGTATTGAGAGTTATGTTCTAGGGTTACAAATGGCTCCAAGAGGAGTATAAATAGGGAAATAATGGGCTGGACCGCTAATATGGGCCCGGTAGCCCAACTACATAAAAGACTAATCTAGTACATAGTTACATACAAATGACATATAAGCAGTACAATAATACAAATGATATCCGTAAGATGTGTGTGGGCCGCTGTCCGGGCCCAATAATCATGAGACCCGGGGGTCCGAGTCTATATACTCTATCAGGAGTCCCCCACTCCCTGAGTCGAGAGTTTTCGAGGCGAAAGGGAGTAGAACTATGTGCCAATATGTCGTCGTCTGGTGAGTAAACTTCGTGAAAAAAATTTGAATTTCTGCTTCTTTAGTTAACGGAGGCGCTAAGTCCCCCGCTCTTCCAGACCCCACTCCTTGAGGTGAATGTAGTGAGGTGAAGAGGAGTAGAATGGTGCATGTCTCGGGATGTCTTCAATAGGGGCCGATGGTCGACACCTTTTGATCCACAATGGGGAGATGCCTCGTTAAAAACCTCATTAGGAAAAAACCTAGTGGGAAAAAATCCGAATGAGGGAAAAAGAGTACACCGGATGCCCCCAAAATGAAGCAAAAGGGGTGAACCCTTCGGCCTGGGCGTGGAACTGCAACCGTCGGCATCTGCTAAGGGGATAGCCAAGATCGGTCCTCGTATGTGCGTAGCTCCGCATGATAGGTAATCCTAGTCATCAAATAAAGATGACTAAGAGATAGGTCGAGTGACCGTCCATAATATGATGTCCAGGTCATCAAATAAAGTGACCGAGATATGTGGCCGAGAGGCCTATAAGAAGTCCAAGCCATCAAATAAAGATGACCAGAAGAGGCGGCCAAGTGGCCGGTATGATGTCATCATTTAGTTGCACCTATGCATTCAAATAAAATTGTTATATTTCTAGAGCTTATAATTCACTATTGGATTTGGACCTACATTAAGTAGCCTCAAATTTTCAAGTTGGAGCTCTATCTAGGTTTCTATGCCTAGTTGGAGCGTGGCACGCATAAAGGATTGAACCTACCGCTCCCACATAGAAACTACCATGTGTATTAGATAACATTTGGATTGGGAGC